GCCTGCGGCTGCGCGCGTGGGGGCAGGCGCAGCTGCTGGGCTCGGCCGGCGGCGCCCTGGCCGGGGTGCCCGTCTCGCACTTCGCGGGCATCGACGGCGTCCGTGCTTTCCTGCACTCCTACTCCCAGGACGTGTCTCTCACGGCGGGCTCCAGGAAGAGCCAGCTGAGGCTTTCCACGGCAAGTTGTCCCAGCACGCTCACACGCCAACAAGAATCGAATAAATCCGTACCTTTGTTAATTGCAGACGTGACAAATGTCTCTCCTGGAGATTGGAGCTTCGTACAGGTAAGTTTGTCACCTGGAAATTTTATTTCCCTTTAATATGTTGTTAAATGCCTATATTCAACTTCACTCTTCCAAGAGCCAGCTGAGGTTTTCCACTGCAAGTTGTTTCAATACCCTCATGAGGCAGCAACCTGCTGAGAATTCGGCGCCACTTCTAATTATGGAAAAGCTCAGAAGGAAGAAACAGTGGCTCTTCAGGGAAGTTTCCGAAACCCAGATATTCATATTGATTTGATAACTGTGTGTGTCTGCATTTTATTCCCAATTTCCCAGTATTGCTTGTGTGGTGTTACTGTCCCGGAAAATGCAATGTGCTAAGTTTAACTTAATTAAGTTCAGAGTTCAGAAAAAAAATTTTCCGACAGCTCCTTTCCCAGTTAAAAGTTATCCTCCGGTTCCCCCCGTCTTTTTTTAAATGTAGTAATACTTTTTTTAAATTAGTTCACAGACAGCTTGCCTTCAGTCAGTATTTCTGTGGAGGCATCAGTATGTCAACGTGTAATTGAATTACTGCTTAAAATATATGCCCATAATAGTGTAAAACCGTCAATTTGAAGGTTACATCTTTTTGTTACATTTGAATTTTGAAGCAAAACTCAAAGAATATATATCTCGCAGTACAAATAAATCTGAACACGCTGAAGTCGTGGGCAGCTGCTTTCTCTCACGGTCACAAATAATCAGGTGAAGCGACTATTACGCCACTGCCGCCTGCATGTGGATCCCCGATTAGGGACTCTTGGCTGTCACTTCGTCTGTCCCCACCGCCACTAGTCAGTCACTGCTGGACTTTGTAAAAGTGATGGGTATTGGTATTGTACTGGTTACTGTAGTAGATGTTGCAGGAATGGGAGAAGCCTGCACCTGACTTGTTTTACATGAAGAGGCTGTTGCACATCTGCAATCACGTGGATCTCAGAGAAGGAGAACCATGTGTCCAGTGACAAGAGGATCCAAGACAACTGGGATTACTCTTCCACTATAGCCTTCACCCAACTTTGCAGCCATTAAGAAGTATGCCCCCTGCATCTGCCTGCTCCACCACAGTGTTGGACTCCTCTTCATCTGATACCCCACCTTTGACCTTACCACCATGGGTAACTCTACCAGGAGTACAAGACTTCTGACGGTGTTGGTCTTAGGGTATACACAAGCCTCTCCACCCCATCAACGTGGCAATCCATGGAGAGGACATACTGAAGTATCTTCTGAAAACAAGATTGTGATTCAAATCATAGAATTCAAAACCTGCTTAGCTAGGCAGAGTTCTTTTAGAGCAGAGATTTTTAGTCTTTTTAGATTCAAGGCACCCCTTGGAAAATAACATCTATTATTTTTCACTAATTTTTACTACCTAAAAATCATAGAGTAATGTTACTGTTGCAAAGGACTCAGAAAGAGCATAGCAGGTCAGAATGTTTTTAACACTATGGATTCCGATTTGAAATTTTTGCGTTTGCCTTGTGAATCATGTTTGTACACCTAACGATGCCAACATTGTGTGGCACCCTGTGGCACCTTTGAAAAGATCTGTGTGCAGCCCATGGTTCTGTGGAACCCTGGCCCAAAGCGCAAAAATCATAAGCAGTTCACTCTCTCTTTCAGCATCCACTCTGACAGAGACAGGGTACTGGGCAAGATGGACCTATGATCTAACTCTAAAACACTAAATGACAATTTTTCTGTGTTTATGTTCACTGTTTTAGAGCAAAGGCAGGTGTGTACCTTACAATCAATTCCCCTACCCCCAAAATACATATTCTTGTGCATCATTAATCTTGAATTCTGGTGACTTACAAGCATTTTCCCTAATCAGAACAACCAAGGAATTAGAGCATTTTATGAATTTGGCTATACTTTGACCTCTGGGTTTAACTTTCTACTGTTTAAAAAAATACAGCTTCATATAGGAGCATTGTTGAGGGTTACAATAATTAGCACTTGAAAAAAAATGGATCCTAGGTGTATTTCTGAGTCTGGAATAAATTTCTAAACAGGTGGCCTTTTCTTCAAACCTATTTAAAATGTGGCAGCTCTTCTTTATTTATTGAGTCATTTATGAAAGCTGTTAAATTACCTAAATAATATTTTACAAATCCATATCTGGCACTATTTAAAAAAATCTTGCCCAAGACATACTAAACAACATCTGATGATTTCTTTACTCATAGCTTCTTCTCAGATTTGAATCCTAAATATATAGTTGATAAGAAATTTTTAATTAAATTAAATTATAAAGAGTTTAATTAGCTCTCTTAAACTGCACCTAGCTAACAAGCATAGCAATAACCAATGACTGAATACCTGAATTAACCAAGAGGTACCTGAATTTCAAAGGAGAAATGCATATGAATTGTATGAGGGCAGCCACTGAGACAAGTGACTTTTAAGGTTATACTCTATAAAGAAAATGATTTTTTAATTTTCATAAATTTAACATACATAATCTTTTGTGGATATTTGCAAACATAAGCTATTATTAACTATGTTTTCTCATAAAATAAGATCTCCCTCCACTATGTCATTTCAAGTCCCACTTTGTAAATAGACTGGCCTATAAATGTAATGTAATTAGTTCCTATTTTACTTTGTTTGCTTCTAGAATTAATATCCTATTTGAATTTACAAGTTTGGTTGGTAAGACAATTGTATTGGCCAACTACATAGATTTCTGTAGGTCATTTAATTTTGAGCAGAAATCATCAAATGATGGTGCCTCTCTTGAAACTGGGCAAGATTCAGGTCTCAGAACAACCTCATTCAAAATAATCTGTGATCCATTGATAAGGTTCACAGATGGCATGAGGTCTAATAACCTGGCAAAAAAGTGGACAATGGCGTACTAGTACAGACAGATCTGTATTCCTTGGCAGGATGAAAGTAATAAAGCACACATTTTAGCCATTTCCAAGGTCTTCAGGGGTAGGAACAAATACTCTAGGCCATACTTGTCAGAGCGAAAAGTATATAGTAGACAGAACATGCAACCCTATGCTTAGTCTTTGAAACATGTACAGTTTAGGTACCTTGCCACAGGAAGTGACCCAGCTTGACAGGATTAATGTGTCTAACAGCTCTATGGGTGCAGACAGAAGGGCAGCCTCCCCAACCCACCCCACCTCTTCCCCGCTGTAACTCGGAGCACTTTGCAGGAAGCTTTCTAAGTTACAAAGATCTCTGGACCAAACATAAATTCACTGTTTGTTCCAGGGAGGAAGGGGATCTAGCTGCTGGCTGCCAGCTTGTGGCTGTTTTCCCCTGGCAACATCCCCTCCTGTCTCCTATCCTATCCCTGTTTTCAGAATGGGAGAGGGGAAAGGGAGCAGAGGGAGCTCCCATCTGGCTCTGGAAAGTGGGATGGATGAATTGGAGTCCAGGGCTTCGGGGGGGGGCGCGCTTCAATACACCTGTCCCACATTCCAATGGGGGCTGAAAAAAACACAGACCAAACTCCACCCATTCCCTTTCCCCCATCCCATTCCAAAAACAGTGACAGGCTGGGAATCAACACAGACAGAAGTTGTAGAAGACACAGTGTTTTGAAATGTTTTCACCTGAACCCTCACGCAATGGAAGTTCAGATTTTCACCTGCTTCATAATTTTTAAGCTGTTTTCAGCTGTGCAGTTGTGTTTGGTCATGGCTATAGACCTCTTTCTGTGGCCAGATTGGGGGAAAATTGTCACTTCTGTCTGTGCCTATGAAGAATGGGGAGCAGCTGCAGTCTCCAGGGGTTGATTGAGATAGAGGTGCTCAACCACTTTCTCACTGTGGGGCTGGGCTGAGGCCAGGCTGCCCCTGCCTCCATCCTCATGGCCAGATGGTGGCCACTGCGCCAACCCCTGGCACTGTATTGAAACCACCATACAGCAGAATTGGAGCAGGCATGCCCCCTCCAGCCTGTTACAGTTAAGAATGGGATTTAAACCTAGTTAAAAATGACACAGCAGCTCCTTCCATGAATGGTAAAAAGGCTTTCATAACTACATCACTAAACCAGCTTTAAAAGAAAATGACAGAAAATACTCCTTACCACAATGCAAATAAATGAGCTATCACTAAAGTCCAGTATATTTTACTGCATTAGTGTCTTTCACCAATACAGGTAAGAAACTGTTTCAATCTTTACAGCCTCCACCAGACCTGTTACCAAGGGTGATGATTAGCCAGGCTCAGGTAACGATGTCGCAGTGATCTCCTTCCCCTCCCTCCACCTCACCCCACTTTGCCAGCAACTCTGTTTTTTTATATATTTTTATACTTTAGTTGCGTGCATTCAAAGCATTCTTTCTTGATAGCCTGATGATTAAAATCTGAATAAAAGCAGGTAGGGAGATATCATCATACTACAACTGTTAGATGCTTGAGTCCCATTTTGGGTTATCTGGTTGTAAGACTTACTTGTACAAGCTCTTGATCAGTCCAGAGGTTACAATTTAATTAACTGGGATAGGGTTTGATTGACTGAATGGCACACTTCGTGACATCGATCAAAAGACACTGTTTTAGGCAGTTGTATTAACAGTGGGGCAGAACCCAAACTATTCTGCATGGTTGATGGTCTATGGTAAAACCCCAAACAGCCATTGAATGCACGGTCCGGGAAATATGATGTAATCAGGGAAGGGTGTATCAGTAAGGCAGATGCAATCACATAGGGAGGTGCAATTATTTATGAATGGTTTAGCATAGTAAAACACTGGGTGTTTGCAACTAGCACGGAAGATGAAATCAGCTGGGATTGCTTCATTTTACATGGCCCCAGTCAGAATCTTGCATTCTTGTGCAAAATGCACTGTTAATGCAATTTGGTCATTTAAATGTCATGTATGTGTACATCCAGCCTAGCTTCAGCGCCAGCAAAGCCCACCGAGCAAAAAGGTTGAGCACCGCTGATCTAGAGAGCCTGTGGGAACTAGAGGTAGCCAATAGTAAATTGGAAGTCTAGAAAGATTTCTGAATTTACATATGCTTAGCTCCGCTACACATTAGGCACCTGGGTTCAGTTGCCATTCAGACTGCCCTGTCCCACTTCTAATGGTAGGCAGTGGCACCTAACTGATAAGTGGTTGTGCCCAATAACCGAGTGGCTAGAGTAGCAGCTGAGGAAGTGGGACACTTGAATCTAGGTTCTTCTCAGACTGAGGAGTTTCAAGAGTATAATCTCCACTTCTCAAAAAAGTCTCTTCCTCTGGGGCGGGGGGCGGAGGGGAGTGGCTGCGGGCTCCTTCAGCAGTCTTGGGGAAGCCGGGCTTCTGTGCAGCCAAAGCTTTTGAAAGGTAATAGGGCAAGGAAGAGAAGAAGCAATAGAAAAGAAACACTGTAGCCTAGTGTTTAGAGTACTAACCTGCGTGAGGGGTGTCCCGAATTCTCGCCCTTGCTACCAAGATTTCCTTTATTTTACATTAGGTCGTCAAGAATTTAAATACGAAAACAGCCCTAATAGATTCCTAAGTGAGCTATATGAATGATTTCTGAGCATGCTCAGTTCAAGTGTAGGTACCATGGGAACTTTTCAGTCCAAACTTGAGGTATTGCCGAAACTTACCTGCAGAGTGTGTTTTGTTCCTTGCAGAGGAGGACCAATATGGATTTATCTTTTGAACCAAGGTGAGTAAATTCCATCTCAAAGTCCCATGTTAATAACTGTGGAACCAGACTGTATCTGGCCATTAGGAATCTTAGCAGTTAACCAATTGAACATGAGCTCAGTGCATTCCTTCGGCTTGATACTCTAAATATGTTTCTACCACGTATTTAACAGGACCATGTTAATTATGAGTAATAAGGCAGTACTCATCTGTACATAGCACCATGAGAAGGATAATGCCACATAGTTTTGTTTCGGCATGCACGCACTAAGAGGGATATTGGAAAACCAGAACTCCTGAAGAAAACTTCTACCAGACTGGTTCCAAATCTGCAAAACATAATAGACTAAAGGATATCAATCTACCCAGCTAATGGAAGAGAAGGCAAAAAGCAACCATCCTGATCAGAAGAAAGAGAGAGAGAGAATATTGTTAATGCTATCATAAAATCTACTGTCTGTAAGCAGAAGCTATATCAG